CTGCCAATACAAACGTCCACTAATTAACCAAACCTAATTTCCCCCCCCTAGATCCGTTCCAATATCCTGCTACCACATCAGTCATGGGACATTAAATGTGAGGAGAGGGGACCGCATGTAGACAGTTGGCTGAAGGAGGCTTTCACGGCCAACTCTTCAGAACTGAAGCTCATCTTGACAGATCACCATGGCTCTATGCCACCAGGAGCCTGTTCCCTTCAGATCATACTGCCCAGGAAGCACAGGCCATATGCTCACACCATTTGGTGAAAACAAAACAACAAAAAAATGCAGGACTAACAACATAAGCATTGTGCTTTTAAAAATCCTGTTCAATATATCTATACTGAACATGTAAAATGCACCCTCCTGTGAAGACCAGCATTACTGAAGTCCTGTACCAAACTGATTGGTGCCATCTTCGAAACCTGCCCTGGAGGTCACTTGTATCATATTTTAAGGCACAATAAAGGACTGAAAAGCTAATCAGGAAAGAAAGCCATCTCAAAATCAGAGCTCTAAGCACCAGCCAACAGGGAGGCTGGCAGTCACTTTATCAGGCAGGGGTGTTAGGAGTGCCCATGTAGGAGCTTCGGTAACCTCAGTGACCCAGTGCTGAAGGTCAAGCCACTGCTCATGGAATTGGCCCACCACCTGCATGAATGGCCCTGTATTTCAAACTTCAAAAAAAAGAATTTAGGGTCAGATTCACACAAGAGTCTAGTTTCTCAATGTATTATCTATGGGAGCCCATAGGCCCAAAGTAATTTTTGAAGAAATTTAAATACCGATCGATAAGGGATCTGTGAAGGTTCACATGGGAAATTAACATGTCTGGTATGACTGGGAGTCTTGGTCCCCAGCAGACTACCTGTGTTTAGTGGACTCACCCAGTGTCGCTCATAGGTGACTATGTGGGCACAGGTCAGAGGGCTCCATCCACTGTTTCCTTCTCAATGTTAAACACACCCTTGAAGTTCCTCCAGGATTAGGAAGAAGAATGCAAGAGGGAGACCCTGGGGAGGACCTAGCAAGTGTGCAGACAGACCTTCCTCATCTGGGCTTAAGTTTAATGCTATTCTGACAGACAGCGGCAGCCAGGCAGGCACAAGGCCTGGACTCCCTCCTCGGCGCTGCAAAGGAAAGCCCATGAGCACGTGACCTTGTCTCTGCTCTGGTGCAGTAATGAGACCCCTCCCCTCTGACCCAAGGGCACCATGGCTTCTGTTCAATGCTTACAAGTTGAGTCAACTCCTTAGGCACACGAACATTCTAGGTCTCCGCATGGGCCTAACTTTGCGTTTGTGGGGTGCTGGCCTCCGGTCTTTGGAAGGGTAGATGGGATACGTGCCATCCTAAGGCTCATGGGAACAGCTAAGGGTTATGCAATTCCTTCAGGTGCTCAAATCAACTAAATGTCATCACTTACCAGAAAGTATTGCTGGAAACGGCAGTCCTTGCCTGAACGGGCTGATCATTTGACAGATGTCTTCTAGGGGCCAGTGTCCACATTCAGGGCCTTGACTCTGGGAGAATCTAGTCAGTAGAACACATGATGCTCGGGCCAGCTGAATGCCAAGTTCAAGCAGAAGAGAAGTGCTCAAGTATCATTTTCCCATCCATGCTTTCCACGAACATAGAATCAAACCATGCCCCGAAACGCCCTCCAGTGCAGAGACCCAGCACCATTTGGCCAAGCAGGAAGGGGTATGGTGTCCTTAGAACTCTGCTCTCTATGTCTCATGGCAGGGACATCAAGCCAAATATTGTGACCAGTTACCTGGTACATTTGACCTTAAAATTAAAGGTGGGGCAGTGGGACCGTGGTTTATTCCATAGACTGACTCCCCCAGGCCTGGAAGAGAGGTGTAAGGCTCCATCCCAAATGCTATTCAACAGAGGTCACGGGGACCACCTCTGACAAAAACCCAGGCAAGTAAACAGGCCACTCCGTTATGGCTTTCCCTAGAAAAGCCACAGCTATAAAAAGTCACCGGCTGTGATGGGCTGTAGAAACCACAAGTCTCTAAGACCTTATTTTAAAACTGCAGAATGTGTGTTGAGGGCACCAGGCAATGGGAATGCGGACTGTGTAGGTACATACGTACACCAAGGAATAATGAACCCCCAGCACCTCCTCCCAGGCCTTAAGGAGAACATCTGACAGAAAGAATCCTTAGCAATTGTACAGGGAGGCTAAAGCAGAGGGTCAAGGATGCTAGTCCCTCGGGCTGCAGAACTGGAGATGGGTCAATGTTCTCTCCCCTAACGAGGGCATCTAGGCTTGCCTAAAGAATACAGTGCATTTCTTAAAGCCCTAAACCATGTTTAAAGGGGGGAAAGGTGGTGGGTGATGGTGGTGGTGGGGGTATCCCAGGCTCACAAAGGAAGAAAATGCTCAAGATAAACAGGTTCAGTGAGGATCAAACTCACACTTGCAGGAGAACAAACAAGCCGTTCCTTTCCGAGGCCTTCTGGTTCCTAGATCATACTCTGGAAAAAAGACAGGGTGGAACCCCATCCCCCTGAGGTCAGATTTGGGAAGACAAGTGAGTTTCCTACTTTTGACAGTTTGGTGATCTCCCACCAACTTCCAACTTCCCCGTAATATTCACATTTTAAACCCCAAAGCAAGTTAATTCGGAACGCAGGGACGTCAGAGGCCTTTGGGAGGGTGGGGGGATGAAGTGGAGGCTGGTGGTAGCAGGGCCTTAAGAGCAACAGGGACTTTGAATTAGCCTTTGTGTGGCTTTGGTGGGCTCTGTAGTCCCAACTTGGTTACTTGGTTTGGGCGCCCCCGGGAACCAGGTAACTATCCTTTATCTTTCTACATCCCATCGAAAAGCCCAAGAGGGACCAAGGCATACTTCAGCAAGTTACTTGGTGGACAGGGGCCCCAGACTGTCTGTAGGTTGAGTCTACACACCATACTGGGAGTCTTTAACTGCTATGGCCTCACTTAATTCTAGGTATCGAGGACTAGTTGACTTATCTGACTGTAAACCAAAGCAGGACCATTTCCCACTGATAGTGCCCCCTTGGAGCCTAGGCAGGGAGTACACACTCAACACTTCCTGCTGAGTTAATGAATAAGGTACTGTCTTAGCAGATTACATATCGCTATCAGAAATATTTAATTGAGTTTCATAAAGTTGTCTTGAACATGACGTTTAAGTTCACTTCTCTTGGTTGCAGGGGGTGGTAGTTCTAGGCACTGTGATGGACTCTCTAAACAAGTGACCACAACCCAGCAAGAAGCAAGAAGGGGTTGTTTATCTCATTTCTTACATCCTTCTAGGTTAAACACATAGGGGACTGGCACACAGTTTGAGGTGGATGGATCTAGAGCGAAGACTGTCAGCCCTCAGAAGGGGTGGTGAAGAATGGACATTGTATGAGACCACTCACGACCCCTGTCAAGAACAATTTTCTTTTAACTAGGAAAACACTGTAACTAGTCTCTGACCAGCCAAGCAAAAGCTGACTGGACATCCAAGTTAATCAAACTCCCAAATAGCTATTTGTTAGCTAATGTCACCCAATAATATCTCTTATGTAATATATATATTAAAAAAAACCACTCAAATACCAAAAGATTTAACTTTATAGCACCATTCCAAAATACTAAACTTTCTTGCACCTTTATTTCTCTCTTTTTTGGTACACATTTAGAGTATGGGCATCCTGTAAATTTCTGAGAAGCCCTGGAAAAGACAACAACTACTTTTTAGGACAGAGCAGCAATTTGGTATAGGCAAGATAATGTTAATCAGAGTGTAAATCCTGTGTGGGCTTCTAGAAGTCGGTTTTGGGTGAGTCGAAGGGAGATGCAAGGCTTCCCAGAAGCGCCTAGACAGGGATGGGGCGTGGTGTCTGGAACGGGCTACGCTAGAGCCACGTGACTTTCACAGAGACTGCTCTTCTGACGAGGAGACGGGGGTGTTAGATACCTGTAAAGTCTGTCTGTACCCTTTACTCAAAGTCTGCAAGAGAGATTAGGATGCTATCGAATTCTCTCTTACACATCTCCGTATTTGCATCAGGGAACACTAAAATCTGTTCTTTGCAAGCAGATGTATTAAGATCTAGCAGAATTATAAATGGGGTTTTAATTCACCATAGATCCGTTTGCTGGAGTGATGTGAGGGATGCTAGATGACGGGACTGCTTGCAGGAAAAAATAATTTCTTTCTCGTGACACCAGAGAGTCACGTCTCACCCTAGTTATGACTGAATGTTCCTGTCGAGCTCTCCCAGAGGTTAGTGTGAGCGAGGTGAACCACAGTCACGGGTGTGGGAGGGGCAGGAAGTGTAGAGTGAAGAGGGCAGAGAGAGGTAGAGAGTAACAAGGAACAGCAGCAGCATGATTATGCAGCAGTTTCAGAGAGACTGAATGCTTCACAATAACAGTCAATGACCCAGGAAGAAAAACTTTCAATCAGAGCTGAGTATTAGAAAGCAAGTGTGCACCAGGCAGGCAGGAAGATGAGTATGCCCTGAAATAGAATCATCACTTGCTACTATGTACACCACATACAATATAACATGTTTTTTTTAACATTGCACAATATAAATATTATACACGCCGGAGTAAACTAAACGCAGAGTAACTTGGAGGCACACAGAAGAAACATAGCGAGTGTGAACCAGGATTAAAACAGAGACGCAGTGAAAGGCAGAAGGTTATGATTTCAGGCCAGTGAGCATGGAGGGCCCACTTCAGGGGGTGGGCAGCCACCACCCATGCATAAGGGAAATCAGCACACCTCAAGGTCGCCATTGTTAACTGCTTCAGAGAAGGCCTAGTTTGCTGAACAATCTGAGAAATCAAACCTCTGCTCCCCACTCTGAGGGAGGTATCCCCAAAGTCCCTTCTGGCCTTCAGGCTTCATTACCAGGAGGAGGCCATTACACTTCCCCTATTTCCTGTCAATAACTTGGTTACTAGGCAACCACGTTAGTCAAACTAGAACAGTATTCAAGAACACCCATCACAGTGCTTAACAAGATTTAATGTACATTTATTCTTAACATGTGGGACATAGAAAGATTTTATACTGAATAAATGATATTCATTAAGCCAGAGGAAAAGGAGGAATTTACATCAAGTTTTTTTCATTTTTTTTCTTTTCTTAAACTACATTATCTTGAAATACAAATGTGGATTCTTGTCACAGAAAAATCTTTGAAGCTGTGTTTCTTCCTTTTAGTTGTGTTTTCTTTTTTCTTTTCTTCCTTTTTTTTTTTTGTTTTTTGTCTGTACTGGTATCCATTTCCTAAATCAATCCATATGCAACCATTTCCACACCTTGATTCATGAAGCAAATTGGGACCAGCCGCTCTCCCAACAGAGCATGACTTTATACATACAGAAACTTGTACATTACCCTCTTTTTTTTTTTAATTTTTGTTTTTTATATTTTTTGTTTCTTTTTTTTTGGAGATATGGTCCTAATGAAAAAATATATAAAATAAAAATAAAAAATTATTTAAATCTACCATCACTTCGTAGTTACCACATCATGAAAAAGGAACTAAAAACTTTGTACTAAAAAAAAAAAAGAAAAGAAAAAAATGAGGGTATGTTTAATGTACAACTTCTATATACATCACAGCCCAAAGGCAGTAAAAAAAATATTTAAAAAATGATGGAAGGAATTGTGAAGAACTGTCACGTGGAGGCTGAACCACAGCAGACATGGCGGTCGTGTTGAGGCAGCGGTTCTGTGGATGGCTGTTAGGAGTGCGTTTTCACCCCCAACCGAAAGCGCTGTTTTTTGCTCGTAGCCTAAAACAACCACATCCTTGTGGAGAAACCAGCATCACTCATCGTTCTGACTGACTGCCACACCTCCTCCAGCCCCTATACCTATATTTCTAGAAGCTTCTATTGCACAGAGCTTTGGGTGACGGGATGCAGTTTTGTTTTTGTTTTTGTTATTTTATTTTTTTCATTCTGTGAAGAATAAAATTCACAGGAAATCAATTCAAGGATCTATTTTCCTTTCACCTTTTTGCCTCAGTGTGGTGAAATTTTCCTATCTTAGCATCTTTTGTCAAAACTTTTTTTAAAGTCAATTCACTTCCCCAAAACTGCAATACAACATGAAAAAAAAAAACATTAAAAAGGAAATTCATGAAAAAAGAAGTGACCTTTGAATGCACTAGACAGCAACTTTGGTTAAAAAAAAAAAAAAAAGAAATAGAAAATCCCCAAAGGATGTACTTATACACACAGACAGCAAATATTAATTTTTATAACTGTTCAAATTAATGATTTAATTCCCAATTTGTAAATAGTGAATGGGGCAGAGGAGCAGAGACTTTTCCTTCTTCCTACGCTGGATGAACGAGAGCAGAAAACAGCCATTTCTACGTGACCCTCTATCTTCACTCACACATGCGTGTCTCCTCACGTATGTCATGACTGCCCAATCTGAAACAGTACGTCACAGATGACAGACGCCACCAGAGAGTTCAGGACAGCCGATATCGAGATATCCAGCAACCGACCCTCGTGCAAAAGGAATTCTGAGCGGTTTTCGTCCACTCTGGCCATGGCCAGCAAAGCCTTGGCCGCCCTGCACATCATGTCTACACTAGGAGGCTCCAGAGGTGGCGGCTGCATGTGCATGAGGTTATGCTGGCTCTGCTGGTACTGCGCCATCGTGACCCCGTCCTCCAGGAAGCTTATCAAGTTTCCAATGCTTCCCTTCTGGACAGCTATTGCCCTTGCTGCCAGTGCGTCCCCCTGGGCAAGGTTCGATAAAAGCGCCATGGACATTTCTCGACAGACTGGGTTTTTGCGATCCCCCACGTACCTAACTAATGTAGCATAAAATTTCTCCTGACGACTAAATGGAGGTGTGGCCAAGATCAGGTCCACGTTGTTGTCCTGGATACTGAGTTTACAGAGGGTCTCCAGCACAAGTCTCTGTGGTGACAGGACTGAGTTGGGCCCCACGGTGGGAAAGGGGTCCTGTGCCTCTGCAGACGGGCACACCATCCAGTGCAGCAAGCCGTCCAGGATCGGCAAGCAGATGCTCTCCGTGTATGCAGACAAGTCTAGCTGCCCGGAAATGTTGGCCAACGTGACCAATGTGTTATCCCGCAAGACCTCAAGGCAGTCCCACCACCACTCATCTTTGCTGCACGCCACCCCCTTGTCCTCCTCCTCCTCCTTCTCATAGGTTTGCGGCGCCCGTTTTCTCTCTGGATGCTCGTGATGCAGCAGGATCAGCTTTCCCAGGATCAGCACCAGGCCTGGGTGTTTGGACATCTCTGCGTCGTTGCCAGGCACGAAAGACAAGCTCCGCACGATGTTGGACACACAGATGCAGCGCTTGGCCAGTGAGTCCTGCCAGTGTGCGATGGTGCACAGCGGTGTCTCGTCTCGGCTCCTGGGCTCATCCTCCAGGAGCCTGATGTTCCGGTGGCTTTTGGCCTGCTGGATTCCAAAGGGAAACTTGCTACTGTCGGTTTGGGGTCCTGGGTTGGCGTCTTCAGGCAGGGCCCCTGGCCGGGCAGACAAGACGTCATCGATGGTGGCTATGATGCTTTTCTCTGGCTGCTCCTCAGAATCACCTTTGCCTTCCGGCTCTTTCTTCCTTCCTGTGGAGCTCAGAGGTGGAGGCGGGCGCCTGCGAGGAGGGATCTCCATCTTGCTCTCGAAGTGCGTCTGGATGTGCTCTGTGGTGTCGCCACCCCCCAGCTGCCAGTGCAGGAGCCCGCTGTTGAACTCTTGCACGCGGCCCAGCTTGTCAGACCGGTCCACCACAAACAGGTTGCTCTTTTTGACAATCTTTATGGGCAGCTTGTCAAACTTACTGGCCTGCTTTGGTGTCTCCTTGGGGTCCGGGGTTGCATCTGGAGCAGCAGGGGCAGCGGAGCTCTTGCCCTCTGACTCCATCTTTTCGACGTCTTCCTCCTCCTCCTCCTCATCCTCCTCCTCTTCATCAAGACACTCAGCATCTTCCTCTTCCTTCCCAGAATCGTCTCCCGAGGACCGGCTGTCACCTTTCTTCCCCACATGGTGACCAAGTGCTTTTTGGCTGGGGTCACCCACTTCATATTCCATAAGAATTCCGAAAATGTCAATCAGGCATTTTCGAAAGTACTCTACTAAAAGTTCCAGGAATCCAGACAGCTAGAGAAGAGAAGAGAGAGAGAGAACAGGTAGAGGGTGAGGACATCAGATCTGACTGAAGGGGCAGGAGCCTGAGCCTAGGGCAGCTTTGGGTAATGACGTCCATACTGTTTGAATGTCCTTCTGGCCAGACCCTGGAGGGCACCCCACACACCGAGTTACCTTCCTGAGGATGGACAAAGTATACACGAGCGTGTCTCTGGTTCTCTGCCAACTGGCACTGCCAGCACCAGCACCAGCTTTCTAGAGCCATGGCCCCAACATGGGGATCTCCACTACTCTCTACAGCTTGCATGATTTAGGGATTGTGCATTGGGAGCAGTAGGAGCAAGCGTTTTATCGACTCCTGCATCCAAAGCAAATCTGTTTGCTCTTCCACTGTTTACCTGGCAGTCGTCTGATGAGGGTTTTATGGTTATGATTCTCAGAATTTTTATGGTTATTTTTGTCTCAGGTGTCATAGGTTGCCCTAATTTATGTTCTCTCTCTATCTTTTGGAGGAGACAATTTCAGCAACGTACTAGCTTATAAACACTGAAAATTATCAACAAATCAATTTAGTCCCCGATAGATGAGTGAGACTACTCCATAAGATGCAACTGAAATCTCAGTTATTCACGACGCTAAGTGAAAGACGACAGCCACTAGCAGAGACACTGCCTGCAGAAGCTGAGTGTGCTGCCCGCTCGCCCCAGCTCACAGCCTGTTATCCTCAGGCTGCGGATGGCCGCGTGCAACGAGGATCTGTGTGACCGACGCTGTGGAAAGCAGCCACACTTGCACATCTACTCTCTGCTCCCTGGAAGGGGCTTGGGACACCTGTCCGGGGTGTGGGGACATGAGCTGTACCACGCAGTCATTTCCGTGATCCCTACGGTATTCTCTGACATGAAGTTTGGGTGGTTCCCTCCCTTTCACACGTTTACCTTTTCCCTGGGTAAGTTAATCAAGCGCTTCTAGGTATAAAAATGCATGACCAGCCAGAATTCACCTGTCACGAGGATGAAGGTTCTAGAAAAGGCTGGACACACTATTTATCTTAGAAACAAAACACCAGCACCAGATCGTGCAATATTTATGACATATTAATTTATTCCTCCAACTTAGAATTGTCTCTGGGGCTACACGGAAGCCACAGTGAAAGAAACAGTGTGGTGGAAAGTTCCAGACTTATTCAGTAGCAGGAAGGGAACGGACAGCCCCGCATCCTCAGGAGGCTGAGCTGCTCACACCACACAGAGAACAGGCCTCTCCTTTTCATCCTCTACACCTCTTTAAAGCCCACAGCCCCAGTGACTGGCATCTTTCTCGGGCTTCTTGCTGTCTGTCAGTCATACTCCTAGAAGCGACTTTCCAGCCAGCTCTGAACTGAGGGCCTCCAGAGCGGGGAAGCAGCAGGATTTCACACAACTGCTTCCAAACAGCCAAGAAAGGCAAAAGTGGGGAGGCCGACCCGGAGGCAGGCGCGGCCAGGAGTCCCTGGTCATTTCATTCATATGGGGGGACATAATAGTCATTGAGTGCCATTCTCTCACATGAGTTACCCATTTTCTACTGGGGGAAAAAAAAAAGAAGACCACAGCCTGGAGCGCGTGGCGCACACACACAACCCGCCTGGAGCGTGTGGTGCACACACACACACAAACCTAACACATGGAATCAGGAGTCCATTTCAAGATCACATAGTGGGTTCCAGGCCGGGCCACGTGAGACCCCGCCTCAAACAAATGACTAAAAAACAATGGAACAAATGAGAAAGCTATTATGTTGCCCTGAAGAGTACGTTCTGTAATTGACATCAATTACAACTTCATTTTATGTTTTGATTATTCCTACTGGCCTGTTCACTCCGAGCAACAATTTCTTTGCTACTTACTATCTTCCACAACACACACCGCACACGGGGCCACTTTTTTCTATGAGAAATACGGGAAAGTATACATGCATATTCCTATGTATACACATACACCTCAAAGATGGAAATGAGCACCAGACCAAGTACTCAGAACTCTCCATTGACTAGTGCTGCTTCATAATAACTACAGTGATTCCAAGTCTTGGGTGGTCACTGCTCATCACCTCAGGCTCCAGCACCGCACGGTGCATGACTTAATTTCCACCCATTCTCACGAGCGGCTGCCTCACCTGGGAGAGGTTGAAGGTGGCGACGGTGCTGTCGTCATAGAGGAGGATGTTGATGGTGTCCAAGGCCCACGTGCTCTCGGCCAGCAGACCCGACTTAAGGGACATCATCACACGCCACGCCTCGGGAGTAACTAGGAAGGAGAATAGGATGTTAGGAACATTGGCCCCAGAGGAAGGAGGAGAGTGTTGGCTGCAGTACAGATGTAAACAAAGCTTGCAGAGTCAGCCATGGACGACCATCTGACTTTAGCTGGAGATGATAACTCTTAGGATACTTTGTTCTTCAGGATTCTTTTTGCTTTGGGCATTAAACAGGAGCCCTGAGTGTTGGGCCCGGCCAGCATGCATGGCCCTCATCATCTTGCGTGTTTTTTTTGCCACGTGATAAGAGTCTGAAGCGGGGGTTGGGGATTTAGCTCAGTGGTAGAGTGCTTGCCTAGCCTTGCGCTTGCTAGGCCCTGAGTTCGGTCCTCAGCTCCGGAAAATTAAGAGTCTGACAGGGTGCACCAGGCTTGCATATTTGAGCCACCCCAGCACAGCGGCCTTCTGTCACCTCCTTCACTCAAAAGGATCCAAGGTGGCATCTTGGGAAGACTGGAAGTTTGTGGCATTAGAAGAAAATGTAATCCTCAACAGTGTAACCTTAGACAATGGTCTTGGTTTTCCAGAGCGGTCTTTTCCCCTTCCACGTCCCTCCTTCGGAACACGCTGTGGCCGCACACCAGGTACTTGGTTAGTTTTCAGGGTGCGCTGAGCCGAGGGGAGGGAGCCTGAGGCCTGGACTTCCTGTTCTTCCTACCCTGCCACAGAAGGGACTGCCCAATGTCAGCAGTCAGGTGTGCTGGGGATGGGACCGCACAGGGGCTCCCCGTGTCCCCAGTCTGCAGTGGGAGCTCTTCAGGAGGCCTACAGTGGCCTGGGATGTGACCCCAAGGTGGGGAGGGAACCTGCTCTACCCCACTCGCCACAGCTACAAGTGGTGCAGTCTGTGTGTGAGTCGGGGGTGGGGGGGTGTATGTAGGTGTGTCCACCAAGGACATCCTCAGTGTGATTTTGTTTTACAAGCTTTTAAAGAGGAAAACAAGACTTTTGTCATACAAGGGGTCGGACTTTTGAAAATAAGGAGCATAAATTTCCCTAGGTCGAAGGTAAGCACTGATAGAAACTGAATTCAGAGGTAAAAAACAAAACAAAACAAAACACCAAAACCAGATACTGGGCTGGAGAGGTGGCTCAGCAGTTAAGTGCAGTTATTGTTTTGGAGAGGACCAGGGTTGGGGTCCGGCACCCAGATAGCAGCTCACAACCATCTGGAATGCCAATTCTTGAAGATTTAACGCCCTCTTCTGGCTTCCTTGGGCAATGCATGCATGTAGTGCAGATACACATGCAGGCAAAATATCCCATAAAAATAAATACAACTTTAAAAAAGTAGGTATATGCCGGGTGTTGGTGGCGCACGCCTTTAATCCCAGCACTCGGGAGGCAGAGCCAGGCGGATCTCTGTGAGTTCGAGGCCAGCCTGGGCTACCAAGTGAGCTCTAGGAAAGGCGCAAAGCTATACAGAGAAACCCTGTCTCGAAAAAAAAAAAAAAAAAAAAAAAAAAAAAAAAAAAAAAAAAAAAAAAGTAGGTATATGTATCTATTTAAACATACAATACACACAAAACATAAATATCTATTTAATTTAACTTCTCTATAAAATTGGGCTCAGTATCTGTATGCCAGCATCTCCCCTACAGCTCCCATATATAAAAGATACCCTATTTTTTCTTACTTTGTACCTGCTTAATGTCCAACAATTGAAAGGATCTTTACTATCATTAATTAAATATCTTTAATTTTCTAATCACTGCAAATGATTTTAAGCCAAGTGATTCCAAAATCTTTGAAAAAAATGTTTTTCTTATACAACCATGAGCTATTATTTCCCTTACTGGGTTAAACGAACTTCAAAATAAATGCAGAAAAGGCTGTGTTTACTCCCAGACATTCCAGGCCGCTAATTAGTATTCCCATCATCTCACAGAGGACGGGCGAGCAGCATTAGTATTCAGCTGAGGTTACCTCCTTGGCCTGTATCTGCCAGGGTGGTGTGGATTACGGCAGTTCCATACATCACAGCCGAGAACATTCCACATATCATATCCATCCATCTATATAGCATAGCCTGGTTTCTACCTGTCCCCATGGAAACTCATCCCACATTGTCATCAGAGTGGCTTGCCTTCAATTCCTCAGCCTCACAATGGGTCTCTTAAGCTTTCGTGGCAGCAATTAAGTGGCTTGGTTAAGGTTAAATCTGAAGCCAACCCACAGCATTTGGGGGTCTGTCCCCAAGAGCTCCAGTATCTCACACAAGCAACCTCTGCACCTAGAAGCATCATCATTTCCATGCGGGCTCTTCTCTGGCTTGTTTCTTATTCAGATGAGTGGCTTCTAATCAACACTTCCATATGTAAATATCCTGATAATTTGTATTATTAAGAATCTCATCCAACTGAATGGATAGAAATTACAACTAAATTAAAGTTCTAGATTGCGAAAAGCATCCCATTTTCAGAACACCCCTCCCAAACTCTTACCAATGTCTTTTGAGGTGATCTTTCGCCTTTGTTTGAGGATGGGCTGGGATGCTTCCACAGAACCAGGAGGGAAGGTAATCTCCCTTCTGATTGGCGGTGGCTGAGGGGGTGGCCCGGTGACCTGGGATGTGGGGACTGTGGGCATGACCTTCTGCATCTTCATGGCGGGCAGGAAGGGAGACTTGCTTGGAGACATGCGACTCTCCAGGGAGCGCTGGAAGGAGGCAGGGCTAGGCGCCCTGGAGATGTGGTTTGGCAGTGACGGTGGCGTCTGGTAGGATGACTGAGGTGGGCGCGTGATGGGCTGCATGGAGGCCGAAGACGACATGTAAGGCTGGCGCTGGCTGACGTGAGAAGGCCACTGGCTCTCATGGTTGATCCTCTGATCTGGTACCATCATATCATCTGTACGGTTCATGCCTGGGTAAGGCGGCGCCTGTGCAGGGCCGCCTGGGCCTTGCCTGTTCTGGTAGGGATAAGGCATATCGTTGCGTGTCGCCCACATATTCTGCTGAGGCCCCTCGCTGGAGGATGACTGCATGGGACCACCCATCATCTGAGGTGGGATTCCATGGGGCTGCATCTGGCCTGGGCCCTGCATCCTCTCTCTGTTGTAGGGGTAGGGATACTGGCCCTGGATGGGCCTCCTGTCCGGGCCAGAGTAAGAGCTTCCATACTGGTTGTACACTTCCTGCTGCTGGCCGCCATACTGCATGTTGTACATGTCCCCTTCGTGGCGCTTGGCCGGAGGCCCGTACATGCCATCCATATGGCGTTTGTAATTCTGAAATTCATACACAGACAAATCATACTGATGTACTCTCAGAGGTATAATCATACACACTCAAATTATGCAAAATAGTTATTACTGGGTAGAATGTTCATTTCAAAATGAATATGGGACGCTCCCACGTACTGACAACCACTAACAATTGAGGCTCGGATTTCAGTATTGCTATACACTCCGAGGAGGGCAGATTCCCAAGTCTGCTTCCACGTACATGAAACTTTCTGTGAGAAAAACAAGGGCCCCTTTCCTTGGGCCGCAATCCAGGGATAGCACAGCATGGGTGACCACATAGCAGTGCATGTGGACAGATGGAACTGAGAGGACCCCAGAGGCAAGGTGTCCTGCCTTACAGGAGCATGCTGGAGATGCCAGGGCTACCCGGGAGGTTCTGGACTAAAGGGACCCCTTTAGATACCAATGCCTCTATGCCAGTTCCTCAGGCTGGACCACCACACCTGATGTCCATATCCTGGCTCCTGCCCAGATGCCCAGCTTGTCCAGGTCCAGTTCTCCATGAAACTCATACTGGTCCCTCCACACAACTCCTTCCACTGAACTCTACCCCCAGAGAGTCTTTCCCCAGCGCCCATCAGGGGGGCGGGACTTCCTGATGGAGGGGGGGGCAGGCAGAGATGCTGAGGGGTGGACTGTGCTATTTCACTTCAACAATTGTAGGAATGCAATTCCTTCTGTAGGAATGCTCCAGAAGTAAATGAGGATTTCAAAAAAACTGTTACTGAAAAATTCTAAAAAGACAATTCACACACACACACACACACACACACACACACACACACACACACACATACACACTTCTTTTTCTTCTCCTTCTCCTTCTCCCTCTCCCTCTCCCTCTCTCTCTGTTTTTCCAGAGATCCCAGATCAAAAAGGTAGCTCAGCAACTGGATCCGAGCGGCTGAGGCCACATCAGGAGTTCCACCCTCAGGGTCACTGTGACTTCTGCATGACTCTGCTGGGAGCCAGCATGAACTATTTTATTACATAAAATATGTCATTACTTGTTATTTTAAAGAGAAAAAATTTAGTGAGTACACTTTGGGGTGCAGTGGGCAATGCAGTCACTGGAGTAGCACCCACCAAAATACGTGGTGTCAATATCTCATTTTAAAAGAGCTAGCTTTCAGTCTTGGTCTACAACAGTCTGAGTTTCTTCTGCTATAAGTATGGTACATTTCTGTCCTACAGTGGATTTACTAAATAGCATACAGTTGTCCCTGGGTATCTACAGAGACTAGTTCCAGGACACCTGCAGGTCACATCCATGGACATTCAAGTCCCTTGGAGAAAAATGCTCAAGTTTTCAATACCATCTACACACACTCTTGGTCATTTTGGTTATTTCTAGAGTACTCAGATTCATAATACAATGTAAGTGAATGCTATATATACACATATACATATATATATATATGTATATATGTATATATGTATATGTATATGTGTATAAATAGCATATATGTGTGTATATATATATATATATATATATATAAATAGCTGTGCCCTACTTATTTAGAGAATGATGACGGAGGAAATGTATGCGCATGCTCTGTGCACTTGCCTTTGGACCTATGGTTGCCTCAGTTCATGGATCTGGAACCTGTGGGCATGGGGGTGATCACAGACGTGTCCAACATGCTATATGTATTCCAGAATACTACATTTCAAGGGCTGTTTTCAATTTTCCAAGTTCAAAATCCCAGGAGTACTTTCTAGTTAACCCACCCTGACCACTCCGTAAAGTGTATGACTTCGGTCAGCCCTCCCCAAATCTTTGCAAGACAGACAAAGGGAAAACAGACCCACACCCATTGGCCAACTCACCGGCTGCTGTGGGTACAGGCCAGGCTGGTGTCCTCCATACGGTGGCTGTCCTGTGGGAGGACCTTGGCCTGGATACTGCTGCCCGTAAGCCTCATGCCTAGAGCAAGGTATTCAAAGAAAACTTAGTTTACACGGGACTTGAGGCAAACAGACACGAGCAGCCCATTTCTAGAAACTCTACCCGATGGCCCTGCCTTCTCTCCACACACCACTTTCAACAGCACAGGAGGCCACAGCTGAGTCCCGGCCTCTCGCAGGGACGGCAACACCCATCTCGGAGCGGAGCCAAGCTCCCAGCTCAGGCTGTTGCTAATAGTGTCAGAGGAATACCGGTTGGACGGGCAGGCCTTGTGTGTACTTGTCCTGGCTGTGGCCTCTTCCTTTGAGGCGGAAGCTCCACCCATCCCCAAAGTGCTGCATGGTGTTGTCATGGGAGCAAGAAGAAACCAAGGTGCAGCAGCAGCAGCAGCAGCAGCAGCAGCAGCAGCAGCAGCATTTCTAGAAGCATCAGAGCATGGAGATGCTTCTGTCCTCTACTCCCTCACTGAGGACAGACATGTTTTGGACTTTAAGGCTAGAGTTAGGAAGTGAATCCCCAGATGCTAACCCCAGCAGAGGAGTGGTCAAAATTCTAAGTTCCTCATTACAAAGGGTATGGAAAAGGACACCAACAATGACTACAACCGACTCCTATCAAATCCCTGCACAGAAATAAACAGCATTCGTTTTCAACTGCTCTCACATTTAGAAACTGTAAATGCCATAAAATTAACATCTTCAAGGGGAACAGATCTGGAGCTTTGACAATAAACTGGTTTAATTTAGAAATACTGGATCTTGTAGGAGGGGAGAGTAACTGGATTGGATATATTTATTGTTAATCTGATCAAGAAATGAAAATAAGAAAAAACTAGAGTATCACATACAAATAGCCAGGGGAAGACTCGAGAAGGAAGTTTAGAGAGAAGAACTATGGTCAACAAGAATAAAACTTAAGATGGGCAGGTAACATTTTTCAGATTGCCAACAACGAGGTGAAAGGCTCTGATGTGGCCTAGTCAAAGCCAGGCACTGGGAGGAAATAGGAGAGAAAGCTTACTGCAGTCTGTCCTTGTACATCTGTCTAATGTCACTGGGAAAACAAAACAAAACAAAACAAAACCAGTAGTTCTTACTGGGTCCTAAACCCAAACCCAACCGAACCCTTACCCCATGCCCTAGGGATCCACAATGGCTAAATGTAACCCTCATTCCATGCACTAGGCACCGGTGATAGCTCACCGAGCAGAGGATACCAACAGATATCCATCACACGTGGGCAGGGTACGAGGAAAAACCAAACTGCAGAACACCGAGAAGACCTGCCACCTGGTCACCAGTGGCTCTGCACCCAAGAGCCAGGCTCCCAGAAGAGCCCGGAGATTTTCACACCCACCCTTGGTATCAGTCCTCTCCACTCACCCCTCCTTCGGCTCTAGCAGTGTGCTGGTGAGAGCCTAGGTGCGGTCTGTCACCCTGCGCAGACACCGACCACACCAGGATCATGGAGGAAGGGACTCAAATCAGCTCTGTCCTTCACCAGCACACCACAGCCACGGACAGGACAAGGCCTTTCCTCTTGGGTGCTTCCTGCTTTTTCCTCATACACCACAAGTACAAACCACATACCGAGAGGCTGCCTGAAGCATCTCTCTCAGGAGGGAAGCAGAGAATACACCATACAAGAGCGGCCTTTGGTGTCAGCCTGGGGCACAGGTGAGGGACCTCTTCATGAAGGAAGCCCATCGCTGTCACCACTGAAGGATGAGGCTTCTGATGGCCTTCCCATGACATCTCACTGTCCTCCTAAGTAGAGTCAGTGTAAAAGTGATCCTGTGGCCTGACCTGCCATGTGGATGCCAAAGTGGCTTCACTGGAGAGGCTCTTGTGTCCCTGAATGGTGGGGTTTCTCAGAGATGTCTGTTAAGAGCAAAATACACCCTTGGTCCAGAACTCAGAAAGCCCGAGAGCCAAGTGTGATATCTTAGATATCCCCAAGGAAGTATGGGGAGGAGCGCCTGGTACGGACCGCCCGGGAAGCTGGTAGCGTTCACAGGTACCACATCTAGGCTGTCTCACTGTGGTAACAACAGCTGCCTCAGAGGGATGCTGGTGCTTGGGAGGGATGGTGCAGTGTGCTGTGGCTCCTGAGTTCCGAGGGAAGAGTGGCCTGTCCCAGGCATGTCAGCAGACCTGACTCTGAGGTATGCTGCAGATACCTGCTTATAAATAACAGCCCCTGAGTGTCTGAGACAAGTGTCCGGCTGAGGCCACCCACTCTAAGTAGCCACTGGACACTATGTGGTCATCGGTGGCACATAAAAAAAGGTCACACACTGTGCTGTCACGGGAGGCTCAGCCCCCAGGGCTCACACGTGTGCATTCCAGGAAGGCAGTTTCGGGTACACTGTCTCATCTTCACCAAAAGCACTCACCTTCGGTCATAACTGGCTCCATAGGGAAACTGCTGCCGCTGCCCCATGCCCAGATTGGACATGGCGCCCGAGGGACTCTGGTTGTACATGTCCTGCATGCCGCTGTTGGGCACCTGTCCTTGTGCCATAAAGGGCTCGCTGCTTCCAGGCACTGTGACAGTTCAAATAAAAAGCACAGGATTAAGCATTTTCTGAAAGTCAAAGGGCCTACACATCCCTTCTAGTAATTTCTGTGGTCCCTGTATGTGTATGACACACCACAATCCTAATGAAAGGATATGAAGTCTGCCCAAAGGCACAGAATCTTGAGATGGCCTCAAAGACACCTGCATCCCTGCTGCTTGCTTAGCGTGAGCCTCTGATCTTGACCTGGGCAGGACCCAAAAACAGGCTGGGCTGTGGCTCCGTGATTACAGTATGCTTCATGGCAAGAGAAAGTCACAGATGTAGTGATGGTTACAGCTGACTGTGCGTTCACCCAAAGGGAGCATTCAAGCAACCCTTCAAATCTGGGGCTGAAGGATAAAGATGGAGCCTCTCTGAGACTCGCCTACTGGCCTTGTCATAGAAAGAGGCACATTCTGAAGGGTGGATGGAGGATACCCAACAATATGATGGCCACTTTGGCCCCATAACCATAAGAGACTAAGGCATGAATCCTGCCAACAGCTTGAATGAACCTGAGGGGAACTCGGAAGCTCACTCCTGGCTAACACCTTGGTGCTGTGTGAGACTCAGCAGAGGGCCAAGCCTCTGCTGTCAGGCGTAGTCTGTGGCTGCCTGTCATGTAGCAATGTGGAAGCTACTCATGTTCATGCTAATTACTGTCTCTAGAATGAGGTGATACCAGCTCATGAAGGAGTTGTAAATAAGACATGAAATATATGTTTAAATTAGTTCCCACCCCTATAAGGAAAAGCCAGAAAACCTTGATATAAATATACATTCACAATGGCTCAAGGGGCTAGAGACATGACTCAGTCGTTAGGAACACTTGCTGGGCCTGACTTCAGTTCCCAGCATCCACAGTGGCTGGTGTTTCACTATGGCTTGTAACTCTGTGGGGATCTGAGGCCCCCTTCTGGCCTGTGGAGGTACCTGCATTCATGTGAGCATACATACAGAGACGTACATATGTACATATAGTGACACACACACACACACACACACCAGAAGAGCAGCTGAAGATGGGATGAGCCGTGATGTGTTCCCATCAAAAAGCAGACCACCAATGAGGGTGCATATGCAAATGAGCATCTGCTTGGAGCCTGAAGAAAACTGTATTAAGTCTAGATACTGGCCTGCAAGTATATTAAACATTTAACCTTGAGTTGCTCCATGGCTCCGACTTGTCTTCATTCTATGATAGCTATTTCTCTGTGAGGCAAAACTGAAGTTTTCTAAGTCAACGCTGTCACATGTGGAGCAGACACACAGCTGAGGCCAGTGGAGAAATATCCCAATTACCATCTTCTCTCTGAGCTCACATCAACTTGTGGTAGAACCCGTTTTGAGATTACTTTCCATTTTGTAGATGGAAAGACAGAGATAGACAGAAGCCAAGTGTCATAATTAAAGTTAAGTAGTTTAATTCTCTAATACACAAAGAGGTCTTTAAAAAAAAAATCAACAAAAAAAGATAGTAAGTCAAAAACAAGAAAAACCCGTTCACACAGAAAGGAAACTAAATGGTCACTCAGCATGTGACAGACCTGTGGCCTCACTGAACACTACAGAAATGTAAGTCACAATCTGATTGGCAGATGTTACGGTGGCTGGTAAGAATCAGCTTAATAAGCAGGCCCCCACACCTGCACACTCTGGCCAGCGCATGTAACTGTTGCAACTTCTGCTGGTACCAGCTGTGGGCAGCCACCCCTGCCACACACAGAAGCACATCTGTGTATCCACAACCCATGCAGGCCCCTCCCATGACGACACTGGGCCGGGGTGCATGGCTAGGTCTGACCAGCAGGCTCAGGAAGAGGGATGCAAGCAAACACTTGCATGAGCTTGCAAAAGGGCTTGTTATCTGGGATCTTCTTCTTGGATCTCACCTTCCATGGTAAGGCTACCCTAGAATCTACAAAGAGAGGCCCCAGACTCTAGCTGGGTTCCTAGTAAAGACTCCACCGACCTCAGCTGTGCCCCTGATGACACAGCCCTGAGAAACGGTGAAGTTCCCCTGACGGAAGGAAGTCAGTGAGGTTGGGACAGTCTGCTACCCCATAAAAGATGACCGAGGCACTTCATTCCTATTCTTTGACTCAGTAACTCTTCGAGCAACCCATCTCATGGAAACACTGCTACAATCACAGAAACAGTTTATTTCAAAAATCACCAGTGTTTTGTATGAGCAAAATGGGAGGAAATGGCCCATCCGGGGCTAAGCACCAGAGTCTAGTTAAAGACTAAACACAGCTATGTGTATGGATTCAACAGATACTCAAGTACACTGGGTACCATGGTCAGAGCTTCAGAGAGAGAAAGGAACAAGCAGGCTGGAGGCAGGTGGTGAGCAGGCAAGGCCGGCTCCACGGGGTTGGGGTTCTCAGACCAGGCTGACTCTGCCCACCACAGGCCAACCACAGCGACACCACCAACAGTGGTTTCCATTGACCAAATTGGTCTGAGTTGCAGAATAAGGCAAGCTCAAGAATAGAAAATTTTATTTACAATATGAGAGCTGGAAGAAAAGGTTTTCTGTGGACTGTTTCTCCTTTATTTTGGTAATAAATGCTCCAATGCTATAAGGCAGCAGGTGAGCTGAAATATACAAGAATTGTGCTATTTATCTATGATGGACATGACTGGTGAAGACACATTATCTCTAGCAGCCCAGCTTTCCACCTGCTCCCCTAACTGCCCACGTTCATTCTGTGTTGTGTGCGTACGCACAAGTGCACACGGGGATGCCACGTGGTGTTGTCTGCCTCTGTGCTCCATCTTACTCTTCAGAGGAGGTCTTTCTTATTGAATCCAGGGCTCACAAACCTGGCTAGACAGGGTGTCCAGCAATGTCTGGGGATCCCCCACCTCCACCCCAGGGTGCTGGAGCTGTGGGTATATCCACCACATCCAGCTTTAACGTGCACACTGGAGATCCAAATTCAGGTCCTCCTGCTTCTGCAGAAAGCTCCTTCCTATAATAGAGACTGTAGGTATGAGGGAAGGAGGGGACCCTGCAGCTGTCACATGGCAGGGCACAGATCTGGCATTCAGGAGATTCTGAGGTCCCATCCCAAACCCTGCTGATTAATTTTCCATGTTACTGTTATATTGTCAGAGTCTAAAGGTGGGCTGCGGACCCAGAAGCACTCTACACCACTAACCCCAGCTACTTCTAACGGGCTTTTGGCTCTCAAGGTTACTGCACTTACCATATGTTCTGCAAACCTTTACTTAGAAGTAGCCTCAAGACTCATGAAAGGAAAAATTACAGTTTATCTTGCTATACATAACTGCTACTTGAAATATGCTTGAAATACTGTAAATCTCATTTGCTTACTAGTATACACCCAATGCTAAAAAATTTGAGATTCTTCTGTTATATTTTTATAGTCCATAATATTCATTAAAGGAAGCTGGGGATTTATGCATCTCTCCACTTATGGGTATCATGAAACTCACAGCTGGGGTGGTGGCGCATGCCTTTAATTCAAGCACTTGGGGAGGCAGAGGCAGGTGGATCTCTGTGAGTTTGAGGCCAGTCTGGTCTATATAGTGTTCCAGGTCAGCCAGGGGTACATAGTGAGACTCTATCTCAAAAAGAAAAAACAAACAAATAAACAAAAAAAACCCCTCATGTATCCCAACATCTAAGTATGTATGACACAGTTACTATTCTTTACCAGATCCCAGAATAACTACTGCTACAAAAACATCTTCACAATTTCTTCAGTATTTAAAAATACTCATAGGGTTTAATTTGACAGGACCTAACTGCATTTGGGTGAATGCCAGAAAGCAATCTGCCAGGTTCCTACCTGATGCTGGCATGCACCACCTCGGCCTGGACTCCTTGGGGCTGGCCGGTGTTAAGATCCAACCCTGGTGTTTCTGGTGTCCCTGACAATCCTGCACTTCTGCTCATAGGTCCCACTGCTGCGGATACACACTCAAGAGCAGCCTCAGCCCAGCTCCAGACACACAGCCTGCGAACTGCCCCTCCACAGCTGCTCAAGACACTGAGTTTCTTTCCTGCTCCACTGGCCCTTCTCCAGCCAGTCAGAGTCCCCCCCCCCCCCCCCCCCCCCCCCCGCCCCCATTCATCAACCCTCAAAGCCGCAGAGGGCTTTTCTCCACTGCTTGATTCTGACTCCTACCTGCCATCTCTGGCTCAACTGTCCCTAATGCCCCATGGGTCTCTTCTTATCTCTTTCAAAGCATGCCTGGAGACCACCAGTTACTCTCATACTTACTTAAAAAAAAAATTGAATCATGCCATTTCCCCTAATAACATCTCTCAGCTGGTAAAAACCTCAAACTCAGGAATGTGCCAGTCAGTTGAAGGGCCCTGGACCCTGGCAGCTGAGGCCTTCAAGCCTGTGTGCCCTTTCTTAAACAGGCCCAGTGACCTCCTGCTGAGGTCTCAGTGGAGAGCTGACACCCCACGTCTTTCCTGGTGACACCAATCTGAGGACCTTTGCTTTCCTCCAATGCATTCCTACACCACCACTGCCATGTCCACGCCTTTCTGCACACTGGCTGTCTTCCGTCAGTCTAGGCCTCTGTTCCCTCCTAAGTCTGTTAAGTCCTTGAAGAACTATGTAAGAATCTCTACTGAGCACCCAGCACAAGTTAACACAATGCTGATGATGCTGGACAACAGCCACTTCCTGATCACGGGAACCATCTTTCTTCTGCTGGCTTCCTGTGCACAGACTTAATCCTTTAGCACACCCGGAGCAGGCTCTACTGTTTCCGTCATTTCTAGATGAGCAAGTAAGACACAGAGAAGCTATGTTTTCCTGCGGCTGGAGCTTCAGCAGGGAAAGGAGGCTGAGTTGCTGAATGGCAGGTGCTCAGAACTGTCCCAAATGAACGGGCGAATGATTGTGAGGTGGTGGAGAGAAGAAAGCCTTCTGGACCATGCGCATGCAGAAACTCCGTTCTACCTACCTTTTCTCATCCCACTGAAGGGGTCCTTGTTGGGCTCATAGGGCATCCGGCCCATCATGTCTGGCATGCTCATGCCCTGCTGGTACGGTGCATTTGGAGTCATAGAGTTCCGTTTGGGGTAGGATGAATCACCCACATCTGAGAATGGGTCGTGCACACTGATTGTACTGCTTCTGAAAGAGACAGAAGATGAAAACTGAACGTCATTGCAGCACTATCTATACACACTGAGCTCAAGAAATAAACCACTCCAAAATGGTAAATGCAAAACTACCACAAATAAAGTACATGCTAAACTGGTAGCAAAAAACATTTAAGATCTCATCAGGGAAGGACATTTTTTCGAATAAGTTTGCTCCAAAAACAAAGCAACGCTTGACTTCCCATCTCAGAGTCCTCTGAACATACCTTCCACTTTGCATGGGGGTCATCTGTCCATGAGGGGTAGATGCTGGGGTCGGTGGCTTCAGGTCCCCGGGAACTTCTGTCATCGAGTTGCTGCCGGTTGACTGTGGAGTCTGTGGGCCTTGTAAGGATCCTGAGTTAGCTAGTGGTCAGGGAAATAGGAAGAAGCCGGGGTTACTGAGGAAGGTAATTGCTGACAGCCACATGTATAAGAGGATTAAAAGTAAGACCTTACTGGAAACAGCAATGGTGTAGTAAAATCAGTCACTAAAACGTTGTTTGTGTTCAGAAAGGGACAGAGAGAGAGTGTGAGCATGCGTACACTAAGGACGGAAGAAGGCCTCACACGTGAGGCAAATGCTGTACCCTGAGTTCTAACCTCATCACCCAGTAAAGGAGTATTTTTGAATACACGATTTAGAAACATACTTCATTTGTGAGCCATAAAATATAGTTATACGTTTGACTGGGTAATTGCTTCCTGGGGTATTTATCCCAGGGAAAAGAGTCTAAGAAAAAAGAAGGCTTTAGGCAGAAAATTGTTTAACTCAGCGTTGCTGGAGATACTCTAAATGTAAATAAAGAAGAAATGGGATGAGAATTTTGGCACATCAGTTTGATGGTCTGTAATGCTGCGCTTCGGAACATGGGTTCTTCAGCAGCGGGGAATGTCTGCCGCTGGAACGTGGTTCTGTAGGTTAACAAGGCTCCTTACATTATTTTAATATCTTTTCAACAATTGGACATCTAGCCTCTATCATTAAAAACACTATCATTTGAACTGTAACTCAGATTTGTTATTACAAATACACATCATGCCGGCTAGTAGCTCTTCCGCACTGCTCTCGGAATTCTGAGACGGCTTCAACCCCAATTACTTCAGAATAACAGTGCTCAGAAGTGAGTCCCTTTCAAAACTCAAGTGGGATTATTAATTAACCTTGCCTTACACAAATATTTCAAGAGCTCCTACCTTATCATCTATCACAGTCTTTTTTAGTATGCTCCATGTTCAATAGACAGACATTGGTTCAATGCATTGATTAGGCAGGAACGTACTGGGTGAATCTGTGCCTGATGCATCTGGGCTCTTTTGGACAGGTGGACACAGAGTAGCAAACTGAAGGGCCACCCCACCCCACCCTCGAGGGGTCTGCACAACCACCCGAGACTGTGAGCAATGCAGACTGCCAGTGTATGGGAAACAACATTTGCTCCCCTGTGGAGGGGGGTTCAAGCCTCACTCCAGTCCTTGTTTTACTTCAGACGGTCAACAAGTCCCAAGTCATTACTTAATGAAGAGGTCAGAAATGGGAAAGGTGGGCATCACTTATGTATGCAAGAGACACAGAAAAAAAAAAAAAACCCGCTCATGCGACCTCTCCATGATATGGTTAGGGTTGTTTTGTAGATATGAGAGAGAGAACAGACAGAGGTATCTGGAAGAGCAGAGGCGGAAGTAGACTGGACATGACCAGCACACTGGACATGGTCAAAAATATCTGTGAAAGGGGGGAATAGCAGGGGATAGAGACCAGAGAACATAGTGAGGACATGGGGGGGGGGACCTCATAAAGAGAACAGGAGTATCTGGGAGGACCCTAGGAGGCGGCACGCGAGCGTGGACTCTGAAATGTCCAACAGGTGTTTGTGATACTGAGGGAGCTGGAGGCCTCTCGAGTGCTCTGTGTGCAACAACAGGCAGCCATTTGTCCTTCCCGTCAGAGGTACCGGAAATGACTCCTTTCGGCAGATGGGGACCAGTTTCACAAGTTCCGGAGGAATGTGGCTTTTATCTAAGCACCCGAAGTCCTACGGTCCAGCTTGGGCTCACTTCTGGATATATGGACTGCCTTTTGGAGTTCGGGGATTGGAGTTTCCTTTGGGCTTGACAGCTTGTTCTTAGCAAGGGTGTTCTTAGAAACAAGTGTTGTCTGTCGGGTGGGGGCCGCCCGGCCCGTGGCCTGTGTATGTGGCCCCGTGGCCTGTGTATGTGGCCCCGTGGCCTGTGTATGTGGCCTGTGTATGTGGCCCCGTGGCCTGTGTATGTGGCCTGTGTATACCCACTGTGTATGTGGAGCTCCAGAAGACTTAGGGATGGCTTCACCTCCTCACGGAGGGAGAAAAGCTAACTAACGAACACTGGAAACTTGTATTCAGAAGGCAGTCTGCCCCGAGTGAGCAAGGAGCCTTCACAAACCCCGCCAGTCTACCAGCCCGGTCAATGCCCAGAACTGCGGAGAAAGGACCTGTTTTGGGTCACTTTCCTTGGAAATATGGCTCACAGCCTGCTGTGATGTCAGAATGACCCTTATTTACAGAGTATTCACATTCATTGCTAATAAAACAATGGAAAATTTTTCTTGCCAGTGTTTTTCCTTTCCTTTCAGGAAAAAAAAAAAAAAAGAATACTCCCTCTTACAACTCCATTAGCAGAGGAGGCTGGCTGGCTCTCTAGGATATCCCTACCTTTTGCCAGCAGCTACAAATGTATACTCTAAAGTAAACAATGGAAAGGTTACTGGAGGTTAAGTACATTCACACACTTCAGAGGGGGAACTGCCAGGCTCCTGGCTGGGAAGATAATTTACACAGCATGAACCCAGTGCCCCAGTTCTGGTGGGAGGGGTGTGGGGAACAGTGTGAGGAGAACAGCTGATGTGTCCCAGGTCTAGGGACCAGAGGTCACCCAGAGGGCACCTTTGTTACTGCGGGCCCCTTTCTCATTTATCTTCCTCTGAGGATTCCCTAGTTGGAACCATGACAGATTTGGTGACATCACTTGTCAGCTAATAATAGAAATGCAGTCAGCCACCTGCCGGCGGAGACTTTTGGTTACAAACTTACTATCTGAATGGCGCTTCCTTGTCTCTGCCTGCCCCATTCTCAGCTCCATTTCCCCAAGTCCTGGGGCCACGTGCTGGTGACTAAACTTCTCCACCAACTTGGGGAAGTCCAGGGTAAGGATCCCACTGGCACCTTAGAGACGCAGACTGGATGCCACGGCCCCGGCGGACTTCCCGGGTGCATCTGTCTGCAGAGTGTCTGTCTGCAGGGTGCGGCTGCAGAGGTGGAGGCGGTAAGCCTCCGAGGCTTGACTGACTGACTCGACTTTAGATTAATAAAGCTGCAGCCAATCAAAACTGGCCAGACTCAAACTTTGGAATCCTCTGAGAACACAGACACATGACTTAGGAACTCTTGACTCGGTGAAGGTTGGGAGAACAAGTCAGAATAGCCATTAGAAATCTTTTGGTTGGGTTTGCCTGGATGTGCTGGCACAGAAGTTTTAGGTGAAAACTAGCTTTAAAAACCACATGTTAAAAGAGGTCAAGAAAACATCTTGGCCCAGCAGGAATACTTTTCTTCAACCATCTCCACAAGGGTCTTGGCGCCAGGGAGGCCATCGGAGGCATGCAGAGCTGGCACACAAACCTGGCTACGGGCTGCAGGGATCCTGCTGCAGGGATCCTGGTGATGACCGCCCTCCGGACGGGCTCTGCGCTCTGGAGCACAGTGCATGCGCTCTCTGGGATGGACACCGACTTTACAGCAATACCAGGAAGCCTTGCTTCTCCTCTCCCCACACCACAGCAGGCAGGACCTTGCCTCCATCTGGACCAAGGAGTGCATGGGCAACCATGCTCCTTTGTGCGGTTAAAATGATCATGTTGCCATAAAAGCAGTGGTTCTGAACCGGGGAGAGGAAAGTGCTGGCTGTTCAGGGAACAGGCCTCCACTTTCTGCGGGATCTGTACCTCGGCAGGGCTTCCTGTACTGAGGCTGAGGCATGCTGGGAGAGCTATTCTCCACACACAAGTGCGGGCCATTCAGGGACACAAGTTCTTTCCTGACAAATAAAATGCATCTTTAGATCTTTGCAGACATTACTGCTCTGGACCCTGCACCCCACTGGGGTTTTATTTTGGAAAAAATCGTTTCAGAGCTGTTCATGGGCAGTCTCTTTCATTCTGTGAACTGAATGTAACGTTGTGTGTGGTTTTTAAAATTAGATTATCCAGTGCTCAGGTACACCCTGAATGGTGAAAGTTCGGGATCATAAAGGGTGAGGCTGGAGGGGAGGGTTTTTCCAACTGGCAGACCTCCTCTGGGGATGGTCAGAGCAGAGTATGGCTGGTTGTATTTATCTGAGACCTCTTGACCGCCAAGAGTAACAGCTTTGCAATGCTGACAGTGGCCAGAGAATCATGAGAAGTGAACAGCACTCTTCCTCTGGCTTCTAGATGTAAATCAACACCAGGCCTATTTCAAAGGCATTTCCATCTAGGCTGAGGATTCTGGTGGGTTCAGTGAACACCATATGGCTAAACACCTCAAATAGGCCTCTTGCACCCTCACCGTGTGGCTTTGGGGTCTAAGACTTCATCTGCCTTTACTGTCCCAGGGACATTTACATTGCTCCTGCATCCAGGGCTGATGCAAAGGCAAAATGACAAGTATACAGAAGTTGCCTGGCACACTGTGCATGCTCAGGAAACGTGGGCTAGCTTCAGGACCGGCCAGGTGATGGGTCAGTTCGCAGTCTCTACCTTCAAAGGCAACTGCAATAATGCCACCAAGTGCTGAAGGGTAACTAGACTTAAATGTGATCCCTGTGATGACCAGTGACTAGAAACTAGGAATGGTGGGATTTTCCTGAGTGAGGCTGCCACTCACAACTAAGCAGGAGGCCAATGTCTTCCTGGCTCTAACAAGGGAGTTACCAGCTCACAGTGTCTGGTAATTTCACACTTGACAGTCTAATGGGGGACAAAGGCCAGATGGAGAGCTGAAAAGTGGGGCCCATTTCCACCAGCATGGGTGGAGGGACAAGAAGGAGCTGCCTCATGACGGCACGTAAGGGCCTTTTCCATGGCACCGGAGGGATTCCCTTTAGGGGAGAACTTGCTGGACAGGAAACAGCAGAAACTAAGTCCAATCTCATATTTTTAAAAAGTACAAATTGGAGTGACCCAGACAGGAGAGGTAGCGAGAGCCAGCACTGGCCTGAAGGGGGCAGCACTGGGGCTGTGAAACACTGGACTGGGTTCACGTGGGCGGTTACTCTGTCTGGAGGTAGATGGAATGTTCTTAAATCCTTGGATTGGAAACAAAGGTGTATGGCTCAGGATTCTAAGGTCCGCTCTCAGGAGATGAGGAAAGGCAAGGGGTGCTGCCTTCTAAGTCTGACATGAGGGGCGGCATCCACATTTCACTCTTCTGGGAAGCACTGCTGAGGAGGTCGGTCACCCTCAGGTCTAGAGTCTGGCTCAGCCAGCTGCCCTGAACTGCAGCGCTGTCACTTACCAGGAGATGGCGCTGTCACTTACCAGGAGATGGCGGCTGCAGCTTGGGCTGTTTCTTTGCATCCCCGGTGCTGAAGACTTCAGGCGGAGGTTCCTCCCCGCGCTCAATCTTGCACTCGAAGGCGAACAGGTATTGAATATACTGCTTCTTCAGGGAGCTGGCTGCGCTGCTTGAAGTGCCAACATTTAGGTTGGTTGCCAGCTCACGCCACTTCTTGTTTTTATTAACCTAGCAAAAAAAAAAAAAAAAAAAAAAAAAAAAGGGCAGGATCGTTAGTTTGCAGCCGAGTGGCTTGTTTAAAGCCAGGAGACAAACACGCACTTAATGTCCTGGCTTACTTTTTTCATTTGCCTCTTTTAACCAATGCTCATCACTCCCACTCAGCAGCACACAGACAGCATTACAGTTATAAAACCATTAAGGAACCTGCTGCTGGCTACATAAAAGCCCACTTGCTGGGGTCTTCTGCCTGCTCTGTCTCCCAGAGACTTGTATAAGAGCTTCTGGATTCCTGAGCCCCAGGATGAATGGAGACACCGCCCCCCCCCCCACACCTTTCCCCACCTAATCTCTAAAAGGGCACCTACCACTAACATAATAACAGCACTGTACTTACATGAAAAAATAACGTTCCCTTCCAACAGCCACCAGAGTGTGTACCTGTGACCCTGGCTGCATGCTTCCATTAAGCTCTCACTCACTGAGGCTCCTTGTGGGATGGACACAGGGAGTGTCCAGAGCAGCGTTACTGCTCCCCAGCTGGAGTGTTGGCCAGCAGCTTAGTGTCTGGGGCACAGGTTGTGTGTCTCCTGCAGGGCTTCCTACCTGAGGGTGAGTTAGTGTGTGTGTGTGTGTGTGTGTGTGTGTGTGTGTGTGTGTGTG